AATATTTACTGAGTTTTCATTTTGCCTAGAGCATAACCCGTGTGCTAAGGGGAACTTAATATGAACATTAAATATAAATATAAATATAGTCACAAATTAACATTAATGATTGCTTTGCTGTTTCCAGAGATTATTTCCTGTATATTAATGTCTTTTTAACTACATCATATATATGTGCATATATATACACGTGCATTCGGTAAATGTATGTGCATACATATGTGTACATATGTGGGTGTAAACATGCACACACACACACACACACACGCAGAGAACATGACTGACCTAAACAGAACGGTATACCAAGAGCCAGGTCTGGGGCTTAACACTTCCCATGAACGATCTCATTTGTTTATCAGCAACACTGCAGGGTGATGCTATTATCATCACTTTAAAAGTAGGACAGCCAAGCTCAGAGACAAAATTCTTTTCCCAGAGTCACGCAGATAGGGAAGATGGAGACAGTTCTGAGTCCCCAGTGTCTTCCTCTCTAAGCCTTCCACTTAGCCCCAAACTCATGCTGATTTGAGAAAAATTTCTCCACCAACAGGGCATCCTGGTTACCTCCGAGAATGCTTTCTAGATCAGTGGCTGCCAAACCCAATTGTGCATTAGAACCACTGGCTCTTTTAAAATCCCAATCAGGGCCTCGCCAGTGGCACAGCAGGTTGAGTGCAATGCTGTGAAGTTGTCCACAGCCTCTGCAGTGCGGGTTCAATACCTGGCCGACCAGGGAGATACCCATATGGCACAGCAGACCTCTCTTGTCTCGCCCGCTGCTCCCTTCAGCAGTGTATTTTGTCAGTCTGCCTGTTCTGTTCCCCACTCTGTCTCTGGTGAATCCTCTCACCCCCCCACACCTCTGACCTGTACCCCAGTTCTTGTATAAATAAATCGTTAAATAAAATCAAATCAAATCCTGATCAGCACTGCCACAATTAAATGGAACTCTCTCCTATCTGAAGAGAATCTGTCAAAATTGAGCTGATGTGATATGAAGGCTGAAAATGTAAAATATCAGTTCCGTTTCTTAGTAGGAAAGTTTCCATAGAGAGAGCTCTACTAGGGTCAGTGGCTGAGTGGACCATTACTATTCCTTGGCGAATAGGCTGCTAAGAAGCCCACACTGTTCAATTCAAATGAAAACATCACATTTTTTAAACATTTTCTAAAACATCCTAATTGAAGAACAAAGTTTTTGTATTTTAAGTAACTAGAGAAAAACACAAGAGGCTGAGCTAGTTGGCTGAGCCACACTTGCTAAGCGATTTTAAAATGAACTGAGTTCGCTCCAGCTGTCACCACATCTGTTTATCCCCTCAGCAGCTGCCACCAATACACATTGCGGGCCAGAGGTCAAGAGGGCACCCACTAGATTCTGAAATGCCAAGAGGAGGAATGATTGGAGGATGGACTGCAGAGATTATCCACTCTAAAACCTGAGCCCATCAAAGCATGTCTCCTTTCTAACCATCAAGGCCCCTTTAATTGGGAACAAGAAAAGTCTCAGCCTGGGATTATGAGCAAATCTACTGACATAAATTAGTACCTTGCGAAGCTGACATTTATCGTATTGTTCTGCATTCTGTTAGGGGCATGGCCCCACCTCCACCAGGAGGCATGGGGTCACCTATTCAGACTGCAGGTTCTGACCTGCTGTGCTCACCACTCATTAAGTCACCTCCTTTCTCCCTCTCCCCACTTACATTTTATTTAATTTAGCATTCCAGATCCAGCTGTTAAAAACACATTGTTATCACTTGAATCTCCTTATTCAACAATAGGTACATTTTATCAAATCCTGTGATTATATTTACTGTCACTTCTCTAAATTTTACCCTGGTTTTCATGATTTCAACCATTCTGCTGATATTTGGATGTTGTCTGCCTCTACTTCCCCTTTCTTTTGGCGAGCTGGTCTCCCTTCAAGTGCTCCTCCGGGTAAGGAGACACAGTGAGCTAGAGCTAGCCTTTAATGTGTGCCTGGCTGCGTCCTGGCACAGGCACAACCTCCAGCCAGATTTGAAGAGCCAACTCTTGGATGTTCTCACAAGCCTGAGAGCTTTGTGCAAATATCACCATGCGTGAGTTCAAGATAGTTTCCAGTTCCAGGGAAGAACCTCCAAAGCAGGATGTCAAAGGCCTCTAGGGTAGACTCTGAGTATGACTGTGCCAGATTCAGATTCAGAAAGAAGAGGAATTTCCAAGCATTCAGAAAGGAAATAGGCACCCTGACCTAACAGATGGACAGTTTACCCTAAGAGAATCACCAATCACCCTTCTCCTGACCTGGCCAGTTGCCATCCTGGAAGTCACAGGATGTGACTTGTTATGTGACCCTTGTTATTTATACTTGAACCCATTGTTTCATTTTAAAATGAGGTTGTGCAAGTTCAAATACATCTTTGAAGCCCGCACTCATGGCAGCACTATACATGATAGCCAGGAGCTGGAAATAACCTAAGTGCCCATCAACTGATGAATGAATAAAGAATACTCGGTACATATGCACCATGGATTGCTACTGAACTGCAAAAAAGGAATTCTTGCCATTGGTGACAGCTCTTTTTTCTGGTCTCATGTACTTCCTGGAGAGAGGCCTGGTGCTCTGGTTTGGAGTGGGGGGGGAGCGTGACTATGAGGGTCAGGACAGGGACTTTGATCCCTCCTGGCTTCCACTGTGCTGAACGTCTCTGCAACCGAGCTGCTCTACCATTAAAGGAGAGACGCATCATCTTTACCTCTAGTGGTCAGGATGCTCCCTGGGCAAGGATGGTAGGTGTGCATAACAGTGGGAGAGATGCATCCTGCTGGGGGGTGCCCTTCTCCAGGCCCCAAGTGATGTGTGTAGCCAGGGTTACCCCCACTAAGTCTACCACTGGCCTACAGACAACTGCCTCTTGCAGCCCCAGCTGCTACCATTTCCAAATCTTTATTGAAAAGGCTGTACACCAGAGACATACTGCAGTGGGGAGAGAGGGGAGTAGGATCAAAACAAGCGTGGGAAGAACACAAGGGACCAAGGTCATAGTTCACGGGTGAATGGGTGGTGGGAATTTCACAGGGACTATAAACAAGATGAAAATGTATACATTGCACAACAATGGAAATGATGTAAAAAATGTATTAAATAAATAGAAGGAAAAGGCTAAAAATTCAGCAAAGTGAGCTGGGAGGGAAGAAAGTTCCCGGATCACGGAGCCAGGAGTGGCATCTCCTGGCCTCCTTGATCTTGGCATTAACACCCTGGTCCTGTCACCTAGTTACTCTGAGCCTCAGGTTTGTATTTGTAAACACTATATTTAAATGAGTTCACACTTAGCTTGATGCCAGGCACTGAGTAAGCGATTGATAAATGATAGAGATTAGAGTACCTGAAATGCTTCCTTGGCTTCTCATGGCCCAGCTAGGCCTGGTCATCCATTTATTAGTCAGCTGTGCCCTGAATCCTAAATTCCCCAGGTTATTTCTGTGTAAGAGGGTCCTATTGTTATTTCACTGAGGGGCTTTGAAAACATTGGTTGGAAAATGAAAATGTATTTTGCCTGAGCAGGGAGGTCTAAGAGGGAGACTTATAGGAAGGCACAAACTTTCTTCAAATATTTGAAGAGACCTAAACTAACTGCTATTGAATATGAAATGATTAATTATCTGCTTTGCACTGCTCGGAGACATGGAAATTACAGGTATGCAGATTGAATCTAGAGAAAGAACTTCTCATAATTTCCCCAAAGAGAAAGACTCTCTAAAACATAATGAGTTTCTAATCACTAGAAACGCCCAAGTGGGGCCAGGTGATTATCTTCAGGAAGAGATTGGACAGATGATCTCAAAGGTAGCTTCCAGCCTAAGATTTTATGAATTAGGATTAAGCACTGGAACAGGATGCCCCCACCACCCCCACACCAGCACACATCAAAGGAAGCGGAAGGGTTTCAAATGCAACAGTCGAATAAAAATTAAGTCCAACCAAATTTCTCTGAACTTCACCGCAGTGCTCAATGATTTCCATGAGTTTTGATGAAAGAGTGTGACGGTTCTTTTTTTTTTTTTTTTTAAATAAGGGCAAGAGGCAGGCAACCTTACTTCAGTGCCCAGCACTACAGCTATAGGTATCATGGAAACACAAGGTTACACAAACCCTGAGCAATCATGTCTTTGTGAGCTAATTAATTCCCTTGTCACACACTTACCTGATAGCATCTTTCTATTGAGAAGCTTGCACAAAGCAGACCAGTGCAAGGTTCAAAAACCCTGAATTCACAAGAAGTTATTTAGAGGGAAGGGATTAGGGAGTCCCTGTCAGGTGCCGTTCAGCTCTCAGGAAAACCTTCAGTTCTAGGGTCTGTAACCAATACCTGACCAACAAAGGATTATTTTATCACTTCCCATGCAGAAAAAATCCTCGCTCTCCAATCGGGTCCTGTCCTAACTAACCCTGCAACACATATTTTTAAATAAAGGGATTTTTTCAATAAGTTCTTGCTGCATGTGACTTTATTTCTGAGCTTATTTAATGCACTTCTCACTAGGAAGGGGCAGTGGATTTTGTCTTCTCTGACCAGGATTGATTCCTCTTTACTGTAATCACCAAAACAAATGCAAAACTTCCGAAATAAACAACAATCACTACCAGTGTTTCATGTTAAGATACAGAGGCATATTTGTAGTTTTAACAAAAGACTTCAAAAGCATCTAAAGTGAAATGCACTGAGTTTCTCCCCATGCATTTGACTTTATGCTTGGAGAAAAAGATACTCATGAAATGCATTTTCTCTGTTTTTTATGCCCAGCCTTACTTATTCATGTGCCTTAATTTTGATGAATGGATTAAATTTTTCTTATACCTTGTTATACCTTGAGTTATACCTTGTCTCTTTTTCTTTGCTTAGAGCTTACTGCAGTCAAAGACATTGGAGAGATAGATTCTGAGTGTCCTCAGCACTAGAACAAATTATATTAGATACTTATGAATAGCCAGGGAAAACACAAAAACCTACCTTTCACTTCATTCACTTGCTGTTCTCTCATCCATACTGCTCTAAAAGTGTGTCAGCCGGGTATATGCCTTGGAACAGCAATTTCATAAGAAGTCCTACTTACAAGAAACCTCTGTGGAAACTTAAAAGAAAAAAAGAAAAAAACCCTCATCAGACTTCTACTATTAAACTGAGCAGATTTAAATGCCATCCCAAGCAAAACAATGGCACAAACTTACCATGCAATTGAGGTAATTGTATGAATGTACCTAAAATAAATGCTGATTTTTAACAAAATCAATCTCCCCCAATTGAAGTCCAATATCTTGTTACAGATGGTTTGCATTCATAGCTCCAGGGGAGGTGAACACAGGCCTGTCTGAGGGTGTTTGGTGAATGTGCTCCCCAGGGAAGAAGCCAACAAACTCTCCAAGATGCCCACATAGAAACCTTTTTGTTTCCAGCGCTCCTCTACAATCCAGAAGGTAGTTTGAATCCGTACAGAAAATAAACAGGAGACTCTTTAAATGTCTACTATTTGTAACTTTGATATACCGAATCTGCCACGCGTGCATATTCACTTCAAAATACTTCTGTTACTGATAACCCTTCCATTTCTGACATGCCACCTATAAAACGATTCAAAGAGGAAAACCTCTGAAGTCTGGGGTGGGATGGGAGTGTGGAGGATGAATGAATTAAAAGAAAGAACTCCAAAATCTATGGAGTGAATTTTAATGATTAGCACTGAACACAGACTTTGTAAGCACAAAGTGAGCTGATTTACCAGCCTGAAAGAAGCTACAAAGACTCTTTCGGTCAAGTTATTTTTTTCTTGGTGTTTTTTTTTTTTTTTTTTCCCTTACTTTCTCTTAATTCAGTTACCCAGTCCTGGAACAGGGAGAGAAATGCAGCCACCGTTCCACTGCTAAAAGAGGTGGCCAGAGGAATGCATCCTACTATAAATCCTTCTTAGTCATCCCATAGTTTCAATTTCCCCACAACAATAAAATAGGAAGCACAAGGAGAGAAAGGTTGCATCTGTATATATATATATCAGTATGTTTAATTCCTGCATATTAGCAAAGAAATTGAAAAGAGGAGGGTTTTTCCTAATCCTCAAAATTGTACATTCTTGAGATTTTTAATTTTCATATGGTCTGATGGATCAGACTGTCCAAGAAGAGGGATTAAAGTAGGAAGGAAAACTTTTTACTACGTCCACTGGTAAAACTAGGTCTGCAGTGATCTCCCCTTATTCCCAGATGAATACGCAAGAAAAGAGGAAAAAAAAAAAATACTCAAGAAAATATACATCAGAATAACGAGAGAAATCTCCCCCTGAAAATTCACAAGATTATAACAGGTAGTTATTGGGTTTGACTACTAAAAAATCTCTCCCCCTTCCTATAGACTCCCCTTTATATTTGAGTAATCCATTTCTTTCCCTTGGAGACTGTATTTAGGGTCTTGGTCAAGAGACCACTGCCTGACACAATTAAGAGAAATTAGATCCTCTTGCCTGATATTTCAGGCTTCAAGGAAGACTGAGTTTCCATCCTGCAATCAGTGGGGTGTCCTGCCATCAGCCTGCTATTGCGGCCCACCAGTTTTGTGACCCACTCCAACCAACAGGAATGTGTTCTCTCTTCCTGAACTTACAAAAACTATTTCCACTGAGTGTACCCAAAGAACTGCAACTTTTACAAAAATATTCTGAAAATTAGAGTCTATTATCTCTAAACCTGCCAAGCAGTCAGTTGCTGGTGGAGATTTTAAATTGCTACAAGAGCTTTTTTAAAACAATCTTTGCAGTTTCTCATAAACTCTTTTATTTTTTTTGGGGGGGGGACTTATAATTCCACTTTTTGGTACTGATCTGAGAGAAATGAAAACTCATATCCACAAAGAGGCCTATACATGACCATTTCTAGAAGCTTTTTTGTCATATTTGAAAATAACCAAAATGCCCATCTACGGGAGGCTGGATAAGCACTTAGAGCTACACTTACTTAGAGGAATTCTACTCAGCAATAAAAAGAAATGATCTACTTAACCATACCAAGCATGGATGATTCTGAAAACCACTGTGCTGAGCAAAAGAAACTACAACAAAAAGAATACTTTTGCTTACATAGGTTAAAATGGGGGGGGGGAGCTAATTTATGTTGACATTAGTAGGAAGTACTTGACTACAAAGGTCAGAATTGAGTAGAAGAGAGAATAAAGGAACTCCTGGATGTTTAAATTGTCATTGATTAAAATATCATGATGCAGGCTGTAGTTCTACAGACGCATACATTTACCGAAATTTGTAAAAAATAAAAAATGGAATGGGCAAGAAATTTCATGTTCTGAAATAGTTTGCCTTCAACATACAAGACTGAAGTTAGGGAGACAAAAGCAATCGGACTAATGTCTTTAATGGATCTTTATGGCCATCAGATTGGATAATCAAGCAGATAATGCTTTTAAAACTTGGTTCATGAGTTAATTTTCAGTAATATATTAAATGCTAACTTTACCAACAAGGTAAACAAATTAAATTTTTAAATAAAGATTTTTTTTAAATGTAAAAGTGATAAGATAATATCAAAGGAACACTCTACAGAAGAAAATAAATTGGACTTCTTGAAAATTAAAAACTTGTTCTAGGCCTCCACTGGTGGCACAGCGGTTGAACGCTGGGCTGCAAAGCTGCCCGCAGCCTCTGCAGCGCCGGTTCGATCCCTGGCCACAGGGCAAGGGTCCCACATGGCGCGCAGACCTCTCCTACCGCACCCGCTGCTCCCCTCAGCAGTGTACTTCGGTCCTTCTGCCTGCTCTGGTCCCCGGGCTCTGGTGAATTCTCTCACCCTCCCGCACTTCTGACTGTACCCAGTGCATGTATAAATAAATAAATAAATAGATAGATAGATAAATAAATAAATAAATCTTCTTTAAAAAAAAAAAAAAACTTGTTCTGTGAAGACCCCATTAAAGGGATGAAGACAAGCCCCAAACTTAGAATATTTGGATATCATGTATCTGATAAAATACTTGTATTAGGATAGATAAAAGGCTACCCAAATTCAATGGCAAGGGAGAAAATACAAATAAAAAATGGACCTAAAATTCAAAGGGAAACTTCATCAAAGTAGAATGCATGGATAGAAATAAGCACATGAAAAGATATTTAATAATTAATCATGAGGGATATGCAAATTACAGCTAAGATGAGCTAGCACTACACAGTTATTTAAATGGCCTAAAAAAAAATACTAATAATTTCAGTTGCTGGCAAGGTTGTAGAGTGACAGACTCTTCATTGACTTACAAAAACAATCCTTTCAAAAAACAAGGAGAGGTGATGTTAGTTTACTTATAGAAATATAAAAATACAAATGAATTTCTATACCCAGGACTTTCTAAAAGTTTCAAATTCAAATATTCTTTCTTAGAGACCTTATGATTCTTTTATTCTTTTCACACTTTAAAAACACAGGTTTTTAACCCTTCTTTATTTATTTATTATTTTGGTTCAGAAAATATGTTCAGGGCCTCCCCCGGTGGCACAGCAGCTGAGCGCTGGGCTGTGAAGCTATCCACAGCCTCTGCAGCACCGGTTCAATCCCCGGCCACCGGCGAGGGTCCCACATGGTACGCAGAACTCTCCTGCCATGCCCACTGCTCCCCTCAGCAGTGTACTTCATCAGTCTGCCTGTTCTGTTCCCCGCTCTGTCTCTGGTGAATTCTCCTGTGCTTCTGACTGTACCCAGTGCTTGTATAAATAAATAAATAAATAAATCTTTTTAAAAAGTCAGAAAAAAAAAAGAAAATATGTTCACCTTTCTTGCCATGTGTATGATTTGAGTTTGATCTGTGAAAATAATTTTTAAAAGCAAAATAGTAAATATTCTAGGCTTTTCAAGTCACAGATCATCTATGGGAACTACTCACCCTTGCCTACATGGAGCAAGCTTACTCAATGACAAGAATGTGTTATGTTATCAAGGAAATGTAAATTAAAACCACAATGAGATACTACCTTACACCAGTAAGAATGGCACATATCAAAAAAACTAGCACAACAAATGTTGGTAAGGATGTGGTGAAAAAGAAACTCCCCTACATTGCTGGTGGGAGTGCAAACTGGTGCAACCATTATGGAAAGAAGTCTGCAGGTTCCTCAGTCTACTAAAAATGGAGCTACCATACAGTCCAGCAATTCCACTCCTAGGGATCAACCCAAAGAACACAAAAACATTGATTCAAAAAAATACCTGTATCCCTATGTTTATTGCAGCACTATTTATAATAGGTAAAACGTGGAAACAACTCAAATGCCGAAAATAGATGACTGGAACAGGAAGGTGTGGTTTATATATACAAAATGGAATGTTATTCAGCAGTCAAAAAAGATAAACGCATGCCATTCACAGCAACATGGACAGAGCTACAAGGAATTATGCTCAGTGAAATAAGTCAGTCAAAAGGAAAAAGAAAAATATCGGATGGTTTCACTTATAGTAGGAATATAAGGGAACCAATTAAGACATCAGTGGGAAAGATAATAATACAAAACAAAACAAAAACAGACAATTATAAACCAGAGACATCCTGCAGGGGAGGAGGAGGGAGAAAGACCAGAGGGAGGAGCACAGGGGAATGAAGTGATGGTGCATGGGTGTATTGGTGAAGGACATTCTATGGGGACTGTACCCGAGGGTGGTGGGGAGGGGAGCAAACACTGTTTAAAAATGAAATATGATGTAAAAAAACATATAAATAAAAAAATGGGTTATGTTCCAATAAAACTTTATTTTCCAAACCATGATGCAGGCCAGAAGCAGTCCAAAGATTACCATTAGCCAACCCCTACTCTAAAATAATATATTTTCAGCATCTATTGTCTGTAAAGATACAGACGTGCAAAATGATTAACTATACGCATGCAATAATATGGATCTCTATACTTTTCCCAGAACCAGAATTACTCAATATGTATTTCCTTCAGGAATTCTGATTAGATGGTGCTGAAAGTATTTACTTCAGTGGACACAAAATACATCATGCAATAGAGACACAGCCCTAAATATAAATGAATAATGCTGAACAAGACCATGTAGTTATAAGTCAGAAAACATGCCTTAGATAATTAGC